GCCAACTGTCAGCTATGAGGTTAACGGGGTACAAAACCCTCCTTAGTGGAGTTACACAAGCAGAAAGAGGTGGGTAAGATTTGTTTGAATAGAAGACCAAGTATTATGGATTTGCAAAAAAAGACTGTTGAGAATAACAGCATTGCTGCTTTCCAAATAAGCTAGTAGTAAATAACAAACCACAGGCAGGGTTTTGGTAGATGATAGTTGGGTAGTTTTCTCTTGTTTTAAATAGCTCATTGATTTTGGACTGCATCCATTTCCAGCACTGTGACTACACTTCATACAGTAATTAACTCCAAACCAAAGTGCCTTTCTCCAGCCAAGCCAGTTTTGGTTTGTAAATCTCACTGCACATCAACATGGTTAACCAGGCACCCCTATTTCAAGGAGGTATTTCTGAATTCAACACCAAGGTCTGCAGCTCTGCAGACTTGGCACATTAAAACGTGCAATGCATTTGACTCGCTACAGCTCCGAGCACCTCTGTGCCGAGTTGCTTATTTCTGGGCATGCTCAGGTCAGCTGAAACAGGTATCAATCAGTGTCCACTGCATGATGATCCCAAAAGCCACTGGGCTCTGCCCATTCACCAGGAGGGATGCTTGATTGGGAATTTCATGCTTGAAGACCTTTTTGAGCAACAGGACATTAACCTTCAGGTATTTAATTGAGAACCAGGAGTCCAAGCCACATCCTTGCTCACATCTCCACTGTGTTCTCATTTTCGTCTTCCCAGCTATCTGCTTGGGCCCAATGCCAAGAGGGTAAAACATAACGTGCATTTGCACTGCAATACCACTGCAACTTCTATTTTCTACATCACTGCAAAATTAGCATCTCCCTACCACATGCACAGATGTGCCCACAGCTTCTCCAAACCCCTCCAAGCTGGGGTGAGGGGGCACAGTGGTAGCAAGTTGATCTGCCCTCCTCTAGCTGGGAGGAGGTGGAACCACAAGCCCCCACCAAGATAGGGGAAAGTGAAGGCTATTTTGGAGAATGAACCCATGTGGAACAACAACCTAACCACCACTGTGTTTCTGTTCATGAGAGCTTTCCCTTCAGTGCCCATGAGTGAACAACTCCTATGGCCTGCTGCAAAAGTAAAGCTACTCACAGCAAAGAGAAATCAGTATTTTTGAAATAGCAGAGCTCAAAGCTCTTCCCATGCATCTCTGATCCCTGCTTTATCTGGTGACCAAAATGATGCAGGCTGCCTGTATCTTGCTCCATGTCTCTGCAGAGACCGTCAGCACAGCAGATGAGCTTCCACTGGTGGGATCCTCCTCACCTCAAACCAGCCTCTGCATTCAGCACCAGAGCAGGATGGAGCTTTCAGGGACTCTTGGCCAGCAACTCAGTGCTCTCTGAAAGGACAGGAAAGAGGGAAGACAGGGGCTCTGCTGTCTGTCAGCAATACAGCTCTCCTATCAGGCTCTGGATACATCTTGAGAGCAGCTCTGCCTACACATCTGCCCATGCCACTTTTAATCCACCACCAAAGTTGCCTGGCTTGGAAGTGCCCCCAGGGAACACGCGGACTGCGCCAGGGAAGAGGAACGTGACTGCACCAAGTAACACGTAGCATCGCCAAGAAGGAATTGATCTGTTCAAAAACCAAAGCTAGAGAAGCTTCAGCAATTGGTTGCTTACATGCAAGACAAAAAAAAGCAAAAAAAAAAGGCAGAAAAAACCCACTAAGTTCAAAGGAGAACATTGTGGTTGTCAAAGGAGAAAGCGCACTGCGAAATGAAAGCATCGCGTGGGATCATTTGCTTCAGTGGTTCTGCAGGGTGTCACAGGCTGCAGCCACAGGAGCTAGGGGGACACAGATGGGCACATCTCCAGACACGACAGCATGACCCGCTCCAAAGAGCGGCCCAAACAGAACCACCTGAAAAGAGCCAGACCACAGCTTATTGGGATCACTCGGTGCTCCCCCGCTGCGCTGCTCTCGTGAACGCCGTGGCGTGCACGTGTGTCCCCTCTGCTCGTTCACCCGGCCTGTGACTCCACACGGAGTGACGCGTGTCCAAACAACACACGGGTAGAGTGGCTAACACCACGGTCATGACTTAGGGCAGACCACAGAATTTAACATCAAGCAGAAGTGAATGCACCAGCTTCCCAGGAAGCCTTCACCCGGGACCTGGTCACCCTCAAGGCACCTTTTGCCAACACATTAGGTTCCTCCCAGAGCCAGTTCGGATGAGGTGCTTCCCTAGCATCCTGATCGGCCCTTCATCCCTGCTCCCTTCTTCTCTCCTGCTACTAACAGGGAGGGAGCAAGAACCTTTACAGTCCCTCACTGATGTCAAGTGGCACCTTTTGCTGCTCCGATCAGCTACTCCAGCAACAGCATCACTGACTGCAGTTCAAGCTAAAAACAGCCACGCAGCAGTGGAATTTATTAAGTGTTTGGGCCAGCACTAGTTTGCCAGTACTGAAAAATCAAGATGAGGAAACATTGCAGGATTGCCCCACAGTGCTCCGGCTATCCATATGAAACAGGCACTAGCCCAAATATAACACATCTGCCCACAGCTGGGGGCTGTTTGACACTTACAAACTAATTCTTTTGCACAACTCTGGCACCTATGAAAATTGTCTTATTTCGGCTGTGGGCAGAATTACTCAATTTAAAAAAGAAAAAAGGACTCTCCTGTCCGCAACTGAAACGTCAGACTACAATGCCCAGGCAGCATACAGGGAATACTTATCAAACCTTTATCATAACTCCTACTCACATCAGAAAGCTCCTTCCCGTTAATACTTGAGGTATTTAATAGAAGGCCCTCAGCAGCCAATGACATTTGATTTCCATGAAAGAAAAAAAACAAGATAATGCTGTCAAGTTCATAATTTCTATGTCAATAAATCATGACAGAAGGTGAACTCCAAAAATGTAAGCCCTCTGAAAGAACATGTTGCTGTCTCGAAACTGAAGTTCAAGCTCTGCCACTACTGCTTCAGCAGTAGGCAGCAAGACCAACTACAACTTTGTCTCTAACAATACTCAAAAGAAAAATATTTTACGTGTATGTGTGCATATATGTGCAAGTAAATTGTGCATGTAGACCTCAAAGACCACCTCAGACAAATGAATAAATTGCATCTTTTTGGCAAGTCTGACTTCCTTCCCATTGCTGGAAAAAAAATATGAAAGGCACATAAGAACCAATAAAATATGGAATTTGAGACTTTAAATCTTCTTTTGTCTGTCACACTTTATCATGCAAAATAGTAACAAACTAAAATAGACTCAAAGGACACATTTCAATGCAAAAATCCTCCTTCTCAGTACATGTCTCACATAGTACTACTCTGAGCAACAGAATGTTTATACAGCACAGGATAAAGAGAAGCTTTTCACTGACACCTGTGGCAAAACCAAAGGACAAAGGCAGCTCATCAATACAGCACAGTTGCATCAAGTGCTCCCACCTAGCGCAGCCCGACAGCCAGGCATAACAAGTTACAACCACCAACCTGTTTACCCACTTCTGGAAAACACTTGTAAATTTAAACTGTGTGAAATGTCTAGCCATTTCTTTCTTTTCATCAAAAGCCTTCATCAGCAATGGACAATAAAGCTGCCGGCTTGACCTAGAGGGGCTGCTGGGTTAATCTATTCTGACCTTACCTTAATTCCACCATGATACCAAAAGATGGCTTGAATAACTCACCCGCATTAAACAATGCCAAGCCCATCACCCTTTGACCACGGCACTCCTCCAGAGTTCCCTGCAACCACCTTCTTAAACCATGTGGGATAATGAAATACTTTCCCAGATTAATTGCAAAATAAACCAAAATGCCATTTTCTTCCCCTTATACTTAAAAAGCAGGAAACAGAGGGGAATAGCCAAGAGCAGAGGCAAATTCATCTTGCGTTTTCCACACATCCAACTTCCAACATTTCCTCCTGTCCAATTTTAGACAATAAGTTATCTTTCATTTACTCTCCATTGCTTTCCTTATTGATATCAAATACTTTTTTTACCCAAATGGATGAAACTAGACAAAAAGAGCTACTATTGTTTTTTTTTTTTTTTTTTAAAAAAAAAAGCACACACACACACATCTTGTACCCACAGGTTTAATCATTTAGACCTCAACACTTCATAATTTCACAGCTACTGGCCAGTTTTCAAAACCCATTCCATGACAGTGCCAAGCACTCAGTCCCAAATATAGCAAAGCAGAGTTCAAACTAACCACATAATTAGTCCCAAAGAAGTCAGCAAGCTCAATTCAGTCAGTTCAGCAATTGATATAATCGATCAACTCTCATATTTGTCAAGGTCACAGCCTGTGCTTAAATGCCTTTCTGAAGAAAAGTCCTCAGGAACCACCTATATGAAGAAACTATGTAGACCAATATCAACCTGTTGGAGCAGGGCAGCTTTGAGAACAGTCAGTTACAGGAAGAGACTGAATGCAGAGTCTTTCCTGCATTCACATTAAACTGCACAGACATAACTCTTGAAAATTAAGTGGTCTTCCTGTGACCTAATAGCTAGTGAAAGATTTTAACACAAGGAAAGCCATTTCCTTGCTTTAAATGTTTAAGAGCTCTCATTCTTCAGCATCAACCAAGTAATGCATTTTAATTCAGCTTTTTGCATTTGTAATTACTTTGACTACAGGAGAGACTCAAAAAGCATAAACAACCGCTGGGCACTTGAAATGTTTTTAAAACACCTCAAAAAATCCATGCCCATCTTTTTCAACAATCCCAGGAACAAGGTATAAGCTTAAATCTATTCCTAATTAGATTTAGGCACATGCTTAAAATACCAGCTGAGATTAAGTGCCCTCACCCTTTTAGGAAAGGAGGATCCTGAAGAGAGGGAAGTAAAACAAACCGGTGACTAGAGCATGTGATGAATTGGGAATAGAAAAAGAAAAACAAAAAGAATAACATTCCCATTATTTATGCAGGATAGTTTTATACGTCACTCATCGTGAGACTGCAGCAGCTGAGGGGTTCCTACCTTGAAAGGCTGTGATATGACCAACTATCATGTATTTCAGCTCAAAGTTCAGAGCCTGGATATTCTGCGTCCTCTCCCTCCGGACGGCCGCCTGGTAGCTTTCTTCCATCTTTTTGGTGCAGCATGTTGGTGCTCTGTGTTGACAGATCTGTAGATCTGAATCTAATAGAGGCAAACAGAAAGAAACACAATAATTAAAATACTTATTGTTATGGTGCAAAGGAAGGTTATGTTTCTTAGTCCCAAAACAATAACCACTGTAATAAAACTTGAAAGGAACAGCATTGCAAAACTCTGTTTTTGTCTCCAGGGCACCAATTTATTTTATGACTCTCACCTACATCCAGATAACATCACATTTCCTAATTCTCCTCACTTATTCTGCACCCATGTTCAAGCTGGGCACTATCACCTGCCCATGCTGACTGCAGGAGAGAATACTTAACACTTCAAGAACCAGCACAAGGACAGAGAGCAAGCACCAAACCACTGAAATAGAGGCAACTTGGCATTTTCAGAGACCGTGAGCTACCAGCAGCAACAGAGAAGGGGCACGATGGCCATTCCCGGGCCCCAGGGCTGCAGCAGAGGTGAAAGCCACCCAGTAATATCCACTCGGTATCTAAAGGAACAGCATTACACTGCACCACTGCCTTTAGGAGGCAATTAAAAAAAAAAAAAAAAAAGCAAGAAAAATCATACTACTGCCTAGTCTACAACAAAAATATTTTGGAAAGCAACAACCATCCCTATTTACAGCTCTCCCGCAACCTGAAAACACGTTGTCCATGCCAAAAGCACCTCCCTACCCTAGTTATGAACTGCTGAGGGTGCCAAGAGCACAGAACACCCCTGATGAGCTCTGCTCGGGGAGGCAGGTTGTGAGCAGGTCTCTGGTTTGAGCTCAATTTTGTTCTGGATCGCTAGAGGTCAGGGCTCTGCTCTGGACTTTGGTACAAGTCAAGGCAAGGAGACTTTGGCCATTAAACTAGTTGAATGAGCGCACACATGTAGTCCCCAGAGGAAGGGGCAGCCTGCCGCGAAGGCAGAAAAGGCAGCTCTGGAGCAGCCAAGCCTTCACCCTCACCCTTCACCCTCAAACACAGGCCAACCTGCACAAACAGGGCCTGCAGCTCCCATTGAAGGGACTAGACCTCAGCTACCCCTAACCAGAGAGCAGCACAGTGCAATTCATCCCCCAATAGTGCTTATACCTTCATATTCTGCCAATCTTCCCAGCAGTATTTCCAAACAAAGCCCTAATCCAGAGCCCCACACTTCCCTGCCCTGCACTGTCTTTGCAGACCAACATGGACGCCGCCTCAGTGGCGCCGCGCCCAGGAGCTGCTCGTGCCGAGCGCGGCCCAACTGAGCAGCAGCCAACGCGCTGGCCTGAGCTTGGCCCTCCCGGGCAGCTGCTGCCTCCTCCCCAGGAACGGTCAGCAATTAAGCACAGTCTAACAGTTGTCATTTAATTTGTCTGCATTGAAATGCAGGCAGCTACGTGCCAGGGGTTGCAGTAAAGTCACCAAGCCATCCATGAGAGCGGCTGCAGAGAGCAGGACGCGCTGGTGCAAGCGAGCAGTATGTTAAACAGCAGCTAGTCTGCAACCCTGTGAGCAAAGGGAAAATCCAGACAGGCTGCGGGGACCCTCCGGACCCCTACATCACAGGGAGATGTCTGCTCTTTCTGCCTCAGATTAACTGTGTCATCGAGACCTCATTAAAAGCCTCCTTTCTGACTATAAGGAAACAACTTATCCATTTATTTCCATCTCTTCTCACCATTTTATAAAAACAATCCCATTACCAGCTCTATTATAAAGGTTATACATGCAAACAGCATGTTAAAAGGCCTTGCAAGGCCCAAAGGCCGCAGACCTGCTGAAGTGAGCCTGCCCCCACAACCCAGATTTGTTCCTGCTCTCTATACATCTCACAAAGGTGCATGCACACTTTAGAAAACATTAGCAATGAAAATCTCCCTTTGCCTAATATCTCCCTTCACATCATAAAACATGAACAGAAGTTTTCTTTAACTTGAACACAGGACTTTCACTGTTATTCTAAAGCACACTGGAGCACCATTAAGGCCACCATCAGAAATGCTGCTCCAGGTAAAAATCACCAACACTAAAGGATTAACACCTATAGTTCATAAAGCATTACTTAGATGACCTACTACTGCAATACTGGCATGTGCAGCTACTTCCAGGCCAGCCAGAATACCTTGCATTAGTTCAAGGGAATGTGCAAAAATATGTACATACGCCTACAGATAAATAGAAAATGGGAGGACCACTTTGACAGCCATGGGATTATGCCAGCAAATTTAACGGAGTGGAAACAACAGCAAAAAGCACTGGATGTCACAACTGCAGCGAGCTGGCAGCATCAGCGAGGGCTGCAGCTTGCATGACAGCTGGAGGCCAACAGGCACTGGCCCTGATCCCTTTCCAGAGCAGGAACTCTCCAAAATACACAAGTCCTAAGGGCAGCATCTGCACAAAGAAGCCTTGTTAGGCATGTTGCTGAGTGTTTCACTTTTTCCCATCTCCCTGTGTCACTTGCCTGCTCTTGCAGCTCTCACTCTGGTTTTTAGCCCGCTTTCCAAAATGCTTTCTGCCCTCTTCCCACAGTTGGTGCTTGGCCAGACTCCTTAGCTTTGTCACCATGGCTCGTAACCTGCCCAAAGCCCCTTCACACCTGGACAGGAACACAACATGTCTCACTAACATACACGGAATTCCACTGCATTCCCAGAAAACTCCATCTCCTCACTTCCTCTTGGGACCTCTCCTCACCCTCCTCAAACAGGGTGCCCTCCTACCCTTCTCCCTGCTGTGAGGAACCCAGTGGCCAGGGCATGTTCCCAGGCCATGGCTTCCTCGTAAGCAGCTGGAGCTGTTGCAAGAACTGACCTGCTTGTGCCACTCCCCCGACTCAAAGTCTTTCCTTGGAAATGCTGGATATCAACGCCAGGCTGCCCCTCTGCAAACCGATGTGGCAGTTCCAACGGGTGTTGCGTCCTGCTGTTTGCAACCACCACAACGTGGTCTTGCAAGGGCTTCCTGAGAGAAGAGCCAAGAGCTGAGGGAAGCAGCAGCTACCTCGTGCAAAAGCTGCAGACCATGCAAGTCACAAGCAAGAGCCTCTCCTGCACACGACAGTGCCATATGTCCTGATCTTGTACTCCCACAGGCTGCTTAGTGTTGAATAAAAGGCTTCACATCAGGCCACAGCTGAGTCCTTTAGGGGGTGAACACATGACCATAGCACACAGGTGAGAAAATATTGCAAGAGCTTCCATAAATTTCAAGAGCCTACTATCACTCTTCATCATTATGTCTTGCATCTTCACAGCAGAAAATAAAATCCCATCCATTTTTCCTACCAATACAAGTCATAAATATATACAAATTATTTTCAAAGGAATATCTTCCTTCCCCATGACTTCCCAGGACAATGAACTGCATTTCTCTCCAGTGGCAAAAGCAGTGCACTGTCACAGAACTGGGACTTGCAGTCCTTCAAGGAAATGCAACAGAAACTAAATATGGAGAAAACTCAACTAAAACACATAGGTAGCTCTCTGGACTACAGTCTTTACAGCAAAATTGAAATTGTTTTTAAATCAAAGTCATGAGTTTCTAGCCCAGCACAGTTATAAAGAAAACTTCTGAATGCAAATCAATACTGGGCTGTCTGTCTGGAGCTACAGGGAGATGAAGTGAAATCGCTTCATGAAAGGTGTGAATTGCCTCATTCATCTCAACTTTAAAGCCTAATGATAATTCAGATGTTGACGCCGGCTGTTTTAGCAGTGACAGACAACCTTTTTTCAGTAGGAATTTTTGCTAATATTCTCTTCTTCCTGCAGTAGGAATCATACAAGGTAGCACAGCAAAGAAAATTTCCACAGTATCGATATGTCCATTTTCGATTGTATTTCTTATTCTCTCTCATTGCAGCTGTCAACATAAAAGTGTATAAGAAGGTTAGATTGAAAGTGGGGGGAAAAAGAAGAAAAACCTGAAGGGACAAAGAGACTGGTAACTCTTTGACCAGCAGCCTCAGAAGGGGACACTGAAATGAAGAGTACTCAAGAGGGGAGTGAAACTTTTCCCTGGGCCTCCCATAATGCCCCCAAATTTTGATTTTTTTTTTTTTTTAAACCATCTCACTTGAAAATCATATATGAAGCCCAGTGCTCAGCTTGGCCGATTCTCATTCTAACATCTTGCACCAAAGGTATAAACAAGTCTACTGGATAAGCTTTAAATCCATGCTATCCCCAGTATACCAATGAACTCCTTTAGGATTCCATTCTCCTCTCCATTTTATGCCTCTAATTTTAAGGAGATAGGGGAAGAAATTATAGAAACCCCAAAATGTAGAGAAAAGCATGATGAGCACCTTGAGACTATTGACCAAACAGGCATCGCAAACACTGACAGGGCTCAAAGCAGGCCAAGCAGCTGATGCTATGTTGGCAAGTACTCACCCCTTGCACTGGCCTCCCCAGTGAAGGGCAGTAGCTCCCAGCTCGGCTCAGCACCCACGGGTGTCAGCGAGGACACCCAGGGGCACCAAGGGCCATCCCAGGCAGACAGCAAAGGACACGGTGCTGCTTCCGCAGGCGAGGAGGACATTAACACTCATGGGAGCTCAATGGGATTGGGGTCCCAAATGGCTCCTGTGCCAGTAGCACTGTCAGGAACCCCAGCTGCAGCTTCCCATTGCACAAAAGACAAAAGTCAATCAAAAATGAACCTGCAATGAACTATAATTTGGAAGCATTGTAATAACCTAACAGATTCATATCATAACAGGCATTTGATTTTAGGCAATTAGTTGTGATTTTGGCTGCATGCATCCCATTAAAATCCATGGGAGATGGGAGTCAAATCCCCAGACACATGGGAGAGTTGGTGATGAAATGAAGTAGACCAAAAAGCAGCAAGGGCCCCTTCGAAAACTAATCCATGCCCGGTGAGATTAAAAGGCCAGGACAGTACTTCCATTTGGGCATGTGGATCCTCTGAAGAAGTCAGGAGCGGGAATGACCTTTTGCCCTTACTCCTTACTTTTTCCTCTGCCCTATTCTGCCCACCTAGACCACAGACAACGCTCTGGTTGTTCTGAGATCAGATGTGAACTGG